AAGAAAAGTGAGTAGTTGACATAGGAAATTCCTTAAATATAATCCCCATCAAGATTCATTTGAACAAACTCAGGAAGCAAGAGACCATGTTTCTTCACCCTTCCCATGTCTCTAAAAACAACACTAAGGGTGGTTGAAAAGTGTCCATACATACTCTGTATGCTAGGCTAACGTAATTACTTTCTATTTAGGGTCAACTGAAAACAGACAGACTAACTGATCTTATTAACAGTTTGTTGAGCTGAAGCACAGTTAATCAGATCTCTCATCCTCATCCTGGGGCCAGAGCTCCATGACTGACATGTTCATCTTCCAGCGACTTTGCAACACACACGCACACACACACACACACACACACACGCCAGAGCTCCATGGCCAGAGCGCCATGACTGACATGTTCATCTTCCAGCGACTTTGCAACACACACGCACACACACACACACACACACACACGCCAGAGCTCCATGACCAGAGCTCCATGACTGACATGTTCATCTTCCAGCGACTTTGCGTCTTCCAGCGACTTTGCAACACACACACACACACACGCAAGCACACACACACACACACACACACACACACACACACACACACACGCAGAGTGCGGGGAGATGCTACCAACCCAAACAGCAGCGACCTTTATTCACAAGCCGAGTAAGGTGAAAAGGAATTAATCTCTCCCTGGGCTTAAAGAACCAAGAAGCGCGGTCCAGGCTGGGGCCCGGCGGATGGGCACGGGACAAGGCTAGAGGCCCGGGGTGCCGCCGAGGGTCGGGAAGGGTCTCCGCGGACTCTCCAGCTCTCCCTCCCTGAGTCACCAAAGCCCGGCCCCGCGCTGTCAGCAGGAATGGCCGCGCCGCCTGGCGAGTTCCGACCCGGGACACCGATCGCACAAGGGCCTTGAGGGAAGCGCAGCCAACCCACCTGTTAGGTGGCGGGGTGGGGAAGTGTTTCCTCTGGCCGGTAACTTCCTGGAAACGACCCTCGCCAAAGCCCTAAAGTCAACTTGTCGCTACCACCAGCTCCACGGCTTCCCGATACACACAAAGACGAATGGGCGGCGGCCGCTACGGCGAGAGCCAAGGGACAAACAGCTCCACTAAGCCGCGGTTGCTCGCAGAAATAAAAAATGCAGGCCGGCCTCAGTGAATGCCAGCCCCTCCGTGACCCACCTTTTTAAAAAACAGACTCTGATCAACGAAACGAAGACTCCAGCCGGTCCAAGAACCCGAAGTGTTTCCGCTTTGTCAAAAGCTAGAAAACCACACCTTACATCCTGGCCCTGAACCGGCAAACACGGCCCTCCGATTTGACGCCACCCGAGAGAACTACAAGCCCCAGCAACCAGGGAACTCTGTGTAGGGCGAGCAGTGCTTTCTGGGAGTTGTGGTCATGGAAGTGGCAAGGTCTGCTGGGATCCGTAATGTGTTTTAGCTTTGTGGTCCCCACTACGAGGCCTTCAATCTATAAGATTTCAGTAAGATTCTAGAGCCTGCATTTTCGTCTGTTGAACATTTGTATGTATTACACCTTAATATTTTTGACCCCAAATTGGCAGTTTTAAGAAACGCCGTTTTCCATAGTGAATCTGAGAATTGGATGAAGGACACTTTTTACGAGTTTATCTATAGGCATATATCTGTAGATATAATTTTAGGGAGGAGAGTTTACTGAGGTTCACGTAGCATGTGAAATGAAATATAAGTTAAAATATATTAATTAGCACACCACGTAATTTTCTAACATTTTTTTGAAGAATGATTTTTCTCTTGTTTGATAAGAAAGCATTTATACAATTGGAATTAAGCAACAATGATTTCCACAGCTATATTTTTAATATATAAAACAAGTTATTGAAATATGAACTTACCAGAAGTATATGGGCTGATACACATGGTTTGAAGCATTTATTTAAATAATTTGAAGCATTATTTGCCAAGAATTAATTGCCAAATTAATTGCCAAAACAATATCTTTCCTGTGTTCTAGAAAACTGATAAGAAACACATTACCAAAGTTAGGATTAATCTCAAATTTGAAGACCTTTCTCACCACCTAAAATTTCAAAGAGCTTTTAAACTGTACAAACTCTGTTTCCTTCTTTCTTAATATTTAGTTTTTACTCACTTAAAAAATTCTTTTAAGTGCTCACCATGTAACAGGAGTGCTGCTGCACACTATGAACTGAAGCACATTTCTCTCTTCTCAAGGGAGAAAGACTGGGTTCTCCACAAAACTAAATACTATGATAAGATGAAGTAAGGAAGCCATAGAAATATCTGGGAAAGAGAAACTTTCAGGAAGAGGTGGTTCCACAGAACTAAACCTTTGATTCCAGAAAGTTGAGAAGTTAACCATGCAAATAAGATGCCAAAAAGGTACCGTGTTACCTTTAGAAGAAGAAAAGGATATGATCAAAGTACAAAGGTGAGAGTGTAGAGAATAGTGGAGAATCAGGAAATAATTCAGAATGGCTGTAGGCTAAGATAAAAACTGGGAAATCGAGCCACAAGAAGGGCAGCGTCACACATCCTGCCCAGACTGAGTCCTACAGAAGGTGGTGAATCTATGGAAAAATTTTAAAGAAGAGAGTGATACAGTAAGAAAGGCTTGGAAGTGATCTGGAGAAAGTCTGATGTGCTGGTTATTTGTCTCTTGGGTTATTTTCTTGCCCTTCTCTGTTAAGCTCTATGCTTTTGGTAGGTGGTCTCAGCGGCTTTAAGGAATGCCTTGTGGTCCAAGTGTGACCCAAGAGAGGCCTACTGGACTGAGATTTAAGTGCTGGAAAATGAATATATAACAGGTCTTCCTCCTTTCCGCCTCTTCATTACATCTCCAGTAATCATTTCATCCTACCAATAATTTCAACTCTACCTTCTGCCAGGTGGGCCTTCTTCTATGACTCTAGTTTTCACTGGCTTCTGGGAACTGTTTTCTGCTTTTGTTTCTTTAGCAGCTTCTTTAGCTGGTCTCTGAGTGCTATGCTATCTCTCTTTTTAAAATGTTTTCTTATTACATTTGTTTTGTGGAGGGTACACATGTACCATAGCGCAGGTGTTGGGTGGAAGGCATCCAAATATCCATCAATTAACAAATGAGTAAAATTTTAATGTATTTATGCAAAGGAATGCTACTTGTTAGAAAAATAACCTACAAATATATGTAATGATAAAAATGAATTTGAGAACATTACATGTTGTGTGAACTTTTCCTGGGGCAATGAGCATGTGTCTATTCACCCCAGATAGAGCACCAGTGACAGACCACAGTTCTGCCTAAGTTCAGCTTGGTGAACTATGAAGTTTAATCAGGGTGATTACAGGAGCATAGACAACTTAGCAGTGGCTACACCATTGAAGAAAATGTCTCCCACCCTCAGAGCAGCTCTCAACTGTCTATAGACTCTCAAGGAGGGATGAGGTCTTATGAGCTCCTTCACCTTCCATGACAAAATGTTCATAAGACAATTCGTACACAGCTCTTGTGTTGGTGATCACAGCTGCTGGGAATTTAAAGGGGCACTAGCCATGCAGTGCCCAGAGGACAGCATTCCACAACATCGTAGTAAATGAAAGAAGCCAGGCATACATGGCTGCACATTGCATGACTGCATTAATATGAACATTTTACACAAGGAAGAATGACATGACAGAGGACAAATCACTGGTTGCCTGGAGCTGGTATATAGGATAGGGACTGGCTGCCAATGGAACTTTGTGAGATAATGTTTGATTACTGCAGTCAAATTTTAAATCGGGAATTGTGAGACATAACTTCATGTGTTTCCAGATTGTTTTGGATGTTTGAGGTCTGTTGAGATTCCATATGAATTTTATGTTGTTTTTCTAAATAAAAGAAAAGGAAAAGCCAGGCCATTGGAGTTGGGCACAGTGGCATCTGCCTGTAGTCCCAGTACTGGGAAGGCTGACAAAGGAAGATCAAACTTGAGGCCAGTCTGTACTACACATTGAGATCCTGCCTCAAAATAAAACAGAATAAAGAAACCACCCAAACAAACACAAAACCCACAAAGGCCATTGGGACTTTTGTAGGGATTGTATTGAACCTATAGATGACTTTGGAGAGTAGTGCCACTGTACCAATATTAAGTCTTCCCATCTGTGAACATGGGACATCTTTCCATTTATTTAAGTCTTCTTTAATTCCTTTTAGCAATTTTTTTTATCAGTGCAAAAGTCTTACCCCCCTTGGTTAAAATTATTCCTAGGTTCTTTCTTTCTTTCTTTCTTTCTTTCTTTCTTTCTTTCTTTCTTTCTTTTTCTTTCTTTCTTTCTTTCTTTCTTTCTTTCTTTCTTTCTTCCTTTCTTCTGGTGCTATTTCTTTAATTTCCTCTTTGAATTGTTCCTCACAAAGCATATGAAAGTACAACAGTGTTTTGTGTGTTAAACTTGTATCCTGCAATTTTGGTGGATTCATTTATTAGCTTTGTTAATTTTTTTGAATTTTTTTGTTTTTTATATTTTATTTATATTTTTATTTTTTCTGTATGACTGTATTACCTGCATGTGTATAAGTGTACCTGTGTCATGTAGTGGCCATGGAGGTCAGAAGAAAGCATCAGATTCCTCTGGAATTGGCGTTACAGATGGTTGTCAGCCGCCTTGTGGGTGCTGGGAACTGAACTCAGGTCCTCTTCCAGAGCAGCCAGTGTATTTTTAACTGCTGAGCCATCTCTCCAGACCCTGTTCATTTGTTTTGAAGATAAGATTTTGCTCTATGTCCAGACTTGTCTCCAATTCTGGACTCAAATGAATCCCCTGCCTCAACCTCCAGAGTGCTAGGTTCACAGGTATATGCCCAGCTTCATTCTAACAACTTTCTGGCGGATTATTTAGAATTTGGTAAATAGAAGGTCATGTCACATGTGAGTAAAAATAGCTTTCCTCTTCCTTTCTCAATTTGTATGCCTTTTATTTCTGTTGCTTGCCTATAATCTCTCAGGAGCTGTTAAACAGAAATGGTAAGCGGACATTCTTGCCTTGTTCTTGATCTTTGAGGAAAGAGCCTTCAGCCTTGAAACTACTGCTTTTTAAAAGAGCAAGACTGGGGCTGGAGAGATGGCTCAGCGGTTAAGAACACTGGTTGTTCTTGCAGAAGACCCAGGTTTGAATCCCAGCACCCACATGACAGCTAACAACTGTCTGTAACTCCAGGCCCAGGGGATCCAACATCCTCTTCTGACCTCTGCGAGCATTGCATGGCATGGGTGCACTTACCTACATGCAGGCAATACATGCATATACATAAAATAAAAATAATAAATTTTAAAAAAAGAGCAAGACTACCCCATCTTTTCATTGGAAGAGTGGCCTAGGTTTTGATGTGTAGTCCTGGTTCTCTGGGACAATGGTGTGCTAGTTTGATTTCTGTTGCTGTGATAAAATACTCTGACCAAAGGCAACTTGGGAAAGAAAAGGTTTATTTGGCTTTTACTTCCAGGTCACTGTCCATCACTGACAGAAGTCACGGCAAGAACTCAAGGCTGGAACCTGAAGGCAGGCCTGCTTGCTCTTTCATACAGTGTTACTTCCAATCAGTGTTACTTCCAATAGCAGAAATCATGGAGGAATGCTGCTTGGTGGCCCCTTCTCGGGGGCATGCTTAGCTAGCTTCCTCATACAGCCCAGGACTACCTGCCTAGGGAATGGTGCCTCCCAAATATCAATTAATAATCAAGAAAATCCTCCATAGACATGCCCACAGACCAATCTGATCTGAGCAATCCCTAAGTTAAAACTCTCACCTCAGGTGACTCTAGGTTGTGTCAAGTTGCCAGTTAAAGCTAGGTAGGGCACATGGGCATCATCTTGGTCATCATTTGCCCCTCATCATCAAGGGATCTTATCAGCTCTAGGTTCCAGGGACTAAAGACTCTTGCCTGCAGGTTTGGAGCTAAAAGGGATGAGGGGGCATAGCTACATATATTTGGAACTTTTAGGCACATAACAGAAAATAAAGGATATGTGAAACCCTTTGACTAGTTGCTGCCCCTTATTGTCCTGAAACTTCTATTTAATTATAACCAAGAATCACTAGCAAGAAAGGGATGCATATCGGTTTTTCAGATCCTAAAATTCAATTAAGCAAGTTAAGATACAACCATAGAAGGCAGCACCACAAAGCCATTAAAATTAGCCTGATTATCTGAGGCTCACTACATGGGAGGGACTACATACCTGGTACTGTAAACCTGGCCAAAAGCTTAGGATTATGGAGGTTGTAGGCCCTATGGAATCTACTACAGATGTTTTGCTAGATGGAAATGTAGTTAAGCTGCTTTTCAAATGCTTATGTTTATATCTGTAGACTGG